CCTTCTGCTCCCTCTTGCTGTCCTTCTGCTCCCTCTTGCTGCCCTTCTGCTCCCTCTTGCTGCCCTTCTGCTCCCTCTTGCTGTCCTTCTGCTCCCTCTTGCTGTCCTTCTGCTCCCTCTTGCTGTCCTGCTCCCTCTTGCTGTCCTTCTGCTCCCTCTTGCTGTACTTCTGCTCCCTCTTGCTGCCCTTCTGCTCCCTCTTGCTGTCCTTCTGCTCCCTCTTGCTGTCCTTCTGCTCCCTCTTGCTGTCCTGCTCCCTCTTGCTGTCCTTCTGCTCCCTCTTGCTGTACTTCTGCTCCCTCTTGCTGTCCTTCTGCTCGCTCTTGCTGTCCTGCTCCCTCTTGCTGTCCTTCTGCTCCCTCTTGCTGTCCTTCTGCTCCCTCTTGCTGTCCTTCTGCTCCCTCTTGCTGTCCTTCTGCTCCCTCTTGCTGTCCTTCTGCTCCCTCTTGCTGTCCGCCTGCCTCTGCTACTTCCTTGCGCATGGGCAGGCGTGCATGCATCAGGGAACTCAATTCGTTTGGCTTTCTGCTGCCCTGTCTCGCATGGCTGGCAGGTGGCCTTCTGCTGGTCAGCGCACTGGGGGGGGCTCATGTACTTCGTCTCACTCGCCATGGTGAGCCGCTACCTGCTGCCACTGCCACTGCCATGCCATGCCATGCCATGCATTCCCCTGCCGCCACTCTCACTCGAGTCTATCGCTTTCGCTACTCCTGCAACCCCCCACTGACCTTGTGAAAGTGCGTTTCACGTGTGCCAGATTGTGACCCTGTGTGGAGGAGGCGGGGGCTACATAGGAGTGTGGTGGTCGCTGTCACTGCTGCCATCGCTCTTCATATACAACAAGCTGCAGAAGATGTTTGGCCACTCCAACCCCATGTCCGTACTCTCACCCACACCCCTCCATCCACAGATAGTCGACTTCGGTTCCTTATGTTGTCTCTCGCTCTCTTACGCAGTCTCTCAACTACTCATCATTTTTGTTCTCCCCATCCTCACTGCTGCCTAGCCTTCTTTTCCCACTCACTCGTCTCAATGCCTTCCTTCACCTCTACCTTCCCCTCCCTCCAACCATTGCTCTCCCCCCACCTTCCCCCCTTCCTCTACCGTCAGTGCGCTGCTGGGCTACTTGCTACCAGCAGCGGTGCCGTGTGCGTACTGCATCAACTTCTCTGCCTTCTACACATTCTTCATGGCTGAGAAGATGGGCGCCAGTGGCGCCGCGCCCTTGCCCTGGGGTTAGTCGCGCACTCCCTCACTAGCTTGCTCGCTCGTTCCTCGCCATGCTCTCTGCTGCTCGCTCCACTCGTTTCCCGTTGTTGCATGCAATCATGGGCCGTTGCCCTTGCGCCTGAACCAACCACCAGTTCTCCCCAATCCTCACCAACTCTCCTCTCTCCCCGCCACCCTCATGTTCGTGCCTCCCCCAGGCCTGTTCGTGCCGGACATAGTGCTGGCGTGCTTCATCGGCATTGCCGTGTGCATCATAGTGGCGCCCTTCGCGCCCATCCTGTCGCGCTGGATCGCACGCCCCGCCTTCCTGCGCACGCTGCTGCTCATCAGCGTGGTGGCAGCGGCGCACATCTGCACGCTCTTCCCCTACTCCACACACGCGCCCAAGCGCGTCGTCATGCAGCGCGTCTACACCACGCATGGTGGCTCTGTTGATGGTACTGCCTGCGCTGCTGCTCCTGCTCAATGCCTGCCACTACCTAACTCTCTGTCATGCTGTTTGAAGCTCCTTTAATGGATCTGTTCCGCATTGTGTTGTCAATGTGGCTGCACTGTTGGGCTATAGTGTCTGGCTGTATTGACAGTAGCCATTGCCCATTCGCATCTTCCCATCCCCCTCACTCGCCCATCTCTCCCTGCCCTACCTGTGTGTGTGTGTCCCATGCGCCACCCCGCCAGGCGAGCACCCACCTGTGACGAGAGCGGAGACGACGATAGCGACGGCGGACTGCAACGACGCGGCGTTCCTGCTGGCCACCATCCCCGGGCTGCAAGCAGCGCTGGCGCAGCCAGGCAACCACTCCGCCATGACCCTCGCCAACAAGGCCAACCTGCGCGTGAGTCACCGCACGCTGCTCTCGCCCCAACCACCCGGCCACCACGTCACTTGCTCTGAACCCCTTGCTCCATGATCCTTGTTCCAGCCCCTTTGTTCCACCAGAGAGTGGTTCTCACCTGATCCTTCTGTGTTCCACCTCTCCCCCTCCCTCCCTCCCCCGTGCTGTGATCCCCACAGGCGCTCTACCCCATCTCGGACCTCATAGATCGCTCATTCACCTTCCCCGCGCCCCCCTCGCCGCGCCTGTCGAGCCCAGGGTTCCGCTTCCCCTCGATCCAAGTGATCAACGACACCACCATGCTGCCGCCCGCCCCCCACCACTCGTCCTCGCTGCCCCTCGCCCCCAACGGCACCACCCTGCCTCAGGCGCGCCGTCGCCTGCACCTGGAGGTGCACGCAGGGTGAGTCGCTGCTACCTGCCATGGCGCTGCTCCTTACCCAGGCTGAGGCACCCATCCACCCATGCACACATGCACACATGCACACATGCATGCTCTGCCATCTGTGCCTGGCTGTTCGGCCACCATTCCCCTCCGTGGTCTTGTTGACATCCTTCATCTCGTACTGCTTCTCCCAGTGCAGTCAACCTCCACTCACTCCTCTCCTCGTGCTTCTCCCTCTGCGTTGGCCCGTTGCTGACCACGGAGGGCAGGTCGTTGGACCAGGTGTGGGCGTCAGTGCTCAACATCACGGGTCCTGTCACCGCCTGGTCCCTCACCCCCACTCTGCCTCGTAAGCCGCCCTACCCCCCTCCTGCCCACGCTCGTGCCTGTGAGGTGGCCCTGTCCTTATGCTCATTTTCATGCGCGCCCTCACATGTTCCCCTCATTGCATTGCTTGCAAAGACTGATTCTGCTCCTTTCATCCCAACCACTCCTCACGGCCCTCCTGTGCCTTACTCACCATGGATTCCTGTGCACCCCCACCCACCCCATCAGCCCGAGAGGTGTCGCGAGGAGGACCGCCGTCCCTGATGGTGCACTACAATGGTGGTGGGCCGGGCTTCAAATGGCAATTCTGGGTCGAGGTCAGTACTCGCGTGGCACCTCGTGCCTCCTCCCTGCTTCCCTGCCTTGTATGTCTCCCACCAATTGCCATTGCGTTTGACATGATATGACTCACCAGGTTTCACATTTTTGCTGACACCCGCTCGTTTCGCATGGCTACAATAATCCTGTGTGCAGCTGGCGGCAGGGCAGCAGTTGAATGTGGAGCTGGCAGTGCTGGACCAAGTAATGGACGACGATGTCTCCCACATCGCCTCTGTCTTCCCGCCATGGGTCGCTCTAACAGCCTCCTCCTCCTACATCTCTTACCACTCCTTGTAGGACACACACATGCTCGCAATTTTGACACACTTCCACATAACCAAGCAGCAATCTGCAAGCATAGGTTAGTTAATTAGTGTCACATAGAGCCATTAGCATGCTCTGCTCAATCTGTACAAGCTAGAATCAGCAGCTGATTTAGGAGTCAGCGATAGCTGGTGCATCATCTAGGGATGCATGAGAATTAATGAGGTGTGTGTGTTCCTGGGAAAAGGGGGGTACACTAGCTGTTTACCGTATTACCTGTACATTAGTGCTGGTTGGAATTTGGCATAGGTTGCATGGACAAGGATGTACTGAATGGTACATGTTGTACCGTTTCTGCTTATGTGAAATAATGGTGAATAAGCATTACTTTCAGAAATTTCACATTTACATCAGTAGGGAGGTGTAGGCGGTTTAGGCAACATAAGTACACCAAAATGTATGAACAAAACACTCCGTGTCGTACGTACCTGCTGGCACCACGGAAATGCGATTCTGAGACCAACGACCTCACCACATTTCACGCCCAATGTTTCGCTCACGCCTCTTCGGTATGATCGGCGCGCGGCTGGATGACCTTGCAGCAACAAAAAGTATCTTGCAGAGGAACCGTCGATCCTGGCCGTTATGAAAGAATCTGGCAGATCTGAGCTCAATTCAGGCGAACCCGAATTCTCGACAACGGAGGTTTGAGAAAGGTACAGATCGTTTTCGGACATTCCGGAACGTTCTTGTACGTTCAGATGCGGTGACTCGATGGGACAACCTGATGGTGCTGCATCCTGCTTGCTACACTCTCAGGGTCAAACCACATCAGGGTCAATGAGATTTCCGGGCAGCCTTGAGAATCATTGGCAACCCACGTGTCCTGGAGTTGGACATGCTGTCGCTCTGATCCAGTTATCGATCCCTCCTTTCCCACCGAACCGAGCCCAATCATCACGGCGTCAGTCACTCCGCGTCACACCCCGTTCCCGCCCGCCTACATCACCTGCACACGCCTCCGCTTCTTCTCCTGCGCCGCTGCGGTTTGGAAACCCCGCAGCGCAAACATCTGAAGCCCTCCTCGCGCGTGACAGAACTCGTCTGCGAAAATTTCGACGAATGAAAGCCCAGCCATATGTCGCTAGGCCGACGAATGCCTGACAGGTTCGCTGGTTTGCGACGGTCAGCGAAAGGAAGCGTAGCCTCCAGCAGCACACATCAAACCAAACCAACAGCGGCAGGCAGCCATGGTTGCTTGCTCTCTCAAGCCCTCCACTTTTGGTGTTTGGTGGTGTTGCACAAGGCCTCCCCGATCAGCCTGTGGTCGCCAGTAGTTAGGGATGGCGTGCAGCAGCTGTCTCTTAGCAGTATTTTCCTCCTAGTACAGTTTGCCTCGTCCTCGCCACCTCGTTCGCTTGTCCGTGTTTGTTTATCTCGAGCGCTTAGTTGTCTTGGTCGTCCGTTACTTTCAATTAGCTTCCGCTTATCATCACTCCAGACTAAGAACTCCTGGAAACGCTGAGCATATCGCCTCTTCCACTATAATTGAGCATTTGATCGACTACCTGTTTTCCGCGCCGCATCAGTTTCTAACAACAGTATTGGCTTCGCATAGCGATCCCCTATCTTCCCACATGGCGTCATCGTGGCCGTCCGTTCCACCCACCCCGCCCACCAGTCGCCTGACCTGCATGTCGGGCTCGTTGCCGCAGTGCCTGCGGGACCGCAGTGCGGGAGGATTCGACGGTAAGGGATGAACCGCTTTGCGCGGTGCTCGAGCTTGCTGTAGGCGATCAAACACGCACGTGTTGGTGTTTTTGCTGCACTGGGGATGTGTTCTGCTTTCGTGTTTCTTCTCCATATCCCGTATTTCCCTTGTTTCCCTGCTTGTTGCCGGTCGGATCGCCATGATGCCGTGCCCCGTCGCCGTGCGCCGTGCTCTCCCCGTCACGCGTCGCCGATCCGTCGTGCTATGCGGCGTGCGTGCGTCGTGGTGCTCTCCCTTCTCGTCCGCAGAGCTACGCGCCCTGAACATCCGGAACAATCCCCCGAGGTGCGTCGCTCACGACCGTGTCCGCCTCCATCAGCTCAGCCCAATTGCGCTCCGCCAGGCTGTGTTCTTACTAGCACCAGAATCAGCATGCGCGCTCCCACGCATCGCCATCGTTTGGACCGTCTTGTACTTTCTTTTATCACCCCGCTCGCCTCTTATCCCTTTATCCCTTTCTACTTTCCCCTTTATCCCACAACCTTCTCCAACGGTCCCCCTCCCCTTTTCTGGTTTCATTCTCTCCGTGCCGTCGCGCGTCGCTCTCAGCATCGTGTTCGACAACGTGTCGGACGAGCGGTCGACGCTGGTGAAGGTGGGGAGCGCGAGCCGGCACGGGTGTCTGCTGGAGGTGGTGCAGCTGCTCTCCGACCTCAACCTCGTCATTCCCAAGGCCTTCATCTCCTCCGACGCCGCCTGGTTCGTCGACGGTAAGTCGCCCACGACTCCTTCCCCTTTATTGTTTGTTCAAACGCCTCGCTTCTGCGTAATCCTTCCTTATGCGCGCTCTCCGGGCGGCGTGATCGTTGAGTCGTCTCAAAATCTCCTCGTTCCGCGATTTGAAGCTGTTCTGGCAAAGATTCAGCACGTTGGGAGTTCGAAGATTGATCAAATCTTAACGGGAGTCTGTTTCTTTTCCCCCGCGCATGCCTGACCTTGCCTGAACTTGCGTGGTCTGCTTGCCCCGCGCGTTTTCCCCGTGTGCCCTTACGCCAGTGTTCCACGTGCGCGACTCAGCGGGGGAGAAGCTGCGCGACAGGCGCCTGATGGCGTACATACAGCAGGTGACTAGGACCTCAACATGAGCACTCAACCTGTCCAGTGCATCATGACTCATGCGCTGGGTTCACCGCACGGCATCAGCGTCGCACCGTTTTGGCACATACCTTGTTCCATGCCCGCGTTCCTCCTCGTTCACGCTACTCTCGTCTTTCCGCACCCTCGCACCGTTTTTAATGGGCTGGGTACAATCACCTGCGCGCCTCTCGTCTGTCCTCGCCTGTCCAACTCTCTTGTGCATCCTTCCCCCCATGTCGCCTATTTTTTTTCTCCCGTAGGCGTTGGGGGCGCCGTCGTTTGAAGAGGTCGCGCCGCCCCTGTCGTCCTCCTCGTCTTCCCGCGCCGCTCACCCTCCCGCCGCGCACTTGCCCGCACCTCCCCACCACGCTCACTCGGCGTATGCTGCCCCCACGCGCTCTATTTCCGCCAACCAAACCTTAAGCACCGCCGCTTTCCTCGAATCCGGGAACCTGTCGTCCTCCCCCGTTTCTGCTGCCTCCGCTTCCGCCGCCGCTGCCGCAGCCGCAGCAGGCGCTGCGAACCCGGCTGCGCCCGGAGGAGCGGCGCCGCCCGCTTCTTGCTGCCTGGCGCCGGCGGCGCACACGACGATTGAGATCACAGGCGGGGACAGGCCGGGCATACTAGCAAACGTGGCGGCGGTGCTGGCGGCGGCGCAGTGCAACGTGGTGGGCGCGGAGGTGTGGACGCACAACGGTCGAGTGGCGTGCGTGGTGTGCGTCACGGATAACACTGCAGGGGGGGGCAGGATTAAAGACCCGCTCCGCTTGAAGCGGATCAGGGCAGAGCTCGCTGCGATCGTGAGGCCTGTTGCAGCCGCCGCTGCTTCGCCATCCGCTGCGTGGCATGCGCCGGGTATTGCTTCGGGCGACCCTGCAGTACCTACGGCGTGTCTCCTTCCGCCAGATGCTCCCGCCTTGTATCCCCCTGTCCCCGCCTCTGCCTCGCCCACCTCGTCGCTGAGCCCAGGCCTCTCGCCCCCGCCGCGTCCCCCTCGTGCACCCACTTCCTTCCCGCCACACGCGCACGCACACGCACAGGCTCACGCACAGACCATTCCCGCCGTCCCTCCCAATCTTATTGCGCCTGCCGCCGCCGACGCTTCGGTCGCAGGAGCGGGGGTTGCCGCGCAGGGCAGCAATGGCGCCGCTAGCGAGGAGATAGGGCGGGGCATGGGGGAGGGGGCAGTGGCGGCGAGGGCAGAGGCGCAGGCGGTGCAGCGGGCAGCGGAAAAGCAGCACGCTCTCCAGGCAGCCATGCTACGAGGGCAGGCCGGGGCGCAGGCGGCGCCGTCGGCGGCGGCGGCAGCGGGAGGAGGGGTTTGGACGGACGTGGAGTGGGATTCGGTGGCGTGGCGCGGCGGCATGCGCGAGCGGGGGAGGGGGGACCGCGGAACGGGGGGCGTGGAGAGCACGTCGCTGCCAGTGACGATGGCGCACGCGGAGCGGCGGCTGCACCAGCTGCTGTTCGCGGACAGGGACTACGAGGACAACGCCGCCCCCGCGCCCATGCCCGCCGCCGCCGCCGCTTCCGCTGAGGCTGCCGCCGCCCCCACCACATCTGCGGCGCTCGCGCGTGTGGCTGGCGTGGCGTCTGATGGGGGGCCGAGCGGTGGTTCGCGTGGCAATAGCGAGGCGGGCAGTCAGGGTGGCGTGGAGTGTGCACCAGGGATGCAGCGGGTGCAGCTGACTCGACCGGCCCTGATGCCCTTGCATACTCCCCGCCCCTCGCCTCACCCCTTCGCCCAACCTGCCCTCTCCTCCCCACCGCTTTACCCTCCAGCAGCAGCCGCCGCCGCTGCCGCCGCTGCTGCAGCAGCTGCTGTGGCGAGCGGACCGTACTCTCTCTCTCCCACTGGCGCCGCTGCTGCAGCCGTCCCGTCCCTGCCTCCTCACCCTAGCAGGCCTGCCGGCACGCCCGGACTCACAATCACTGCGCCCATGGGCTGGGCTGCCTCAGGGCTTTTCTCTCAGGTGGTTTCAACAGAGCCAGGTGGTGAGGAACGTGCAAGTGGCATGGGGCGGCCGGGGTGTGTGGGAGCAACGGGTGTGGGCAGTGGTGGTGGCGCGTGGGTGGGCGGGCGACTGATGGGGTCTCGGGCCCCTGCAACAGGAGGAGTGGTGGGCAGGAGGGCGAGGAGAGGCGCGCCGAGTGTCAGCACCGGTTCCCCCGCGCCTGGTCTCTGCAGCAATGGAGGCAGCAGCAGTGGCGGCGGTGGGAGTGGGAGTGGTGGTGGGAGCGGTGTGAGGGTGAGTGTGCGCAACAGTGTGGAGCGGCAGTACTCGGTGGTGCGGGTGCGGTGTTGGGACCGGCCGAAGCTGTTGTTTGACACGGTGTGCACGCTCACGGACATGGGCTACATGGTGCACCACGGCGCCATCTCCTCGCACCATGGCTGGGGCCTGCAGGTACGCACACCACGGGAAATGGTGGTGCGGGCGAGTGGGTGGGACGTGGCGTGGGGTGGTGTTTGGTGGCTGGGTTATCAGAGTTGTTAATTGCTTTTCATTGGTAGTGTTGGGTGACATTTCGCCTGTGTTGTGTTGTGTGTGTGTGCATGTGAGCAGGAGTACTACATACGGCAGATGGACGGCGGCACTCTGGAGTCAGAGGCGGAGAGGCAGCGAGTCATCAAGTGTGTCGAGGCAGCCATTGAGCGCCGCACACCCAAGGTAAGCTCAGCCCGTCTCTACCTCCACCTCTCAGCTGTGCATGGCTGCACAGTCCGCCACCAATGCCTCTTCGCCATCCTTCCAGGGATGTTCTTGTCACCACGACGGCCTCTGCTCCTTCATATGTCCTCTCCCGCTCTCCCTTTATGATTTCCTGCCTCTGCCCCTTCTCCCTTGTTTCCTCTCCCCTTCCCCAACATCTCGTCCCCATGCCGGTGTCAGGGAGTGCATCTGGAGTTGTGTGTGAGCGACCGAGCGGGTCTGCTATGCGACGTGACACGCCTCCTGCTCAGCCACAACCTGTCCGTGGCAGCAGCCAACGTGAGCACACGTGGCAGCACGGCAGTGGACGAGTTCATCGTCACTGACTCGTCCGGCCGCCCTGTGGACGTGCCACAGGTGCTGGCAGCGGTGCGGCAGCACATGGGTCCGCAGGCGCAAGTCACAGTCAAGGGCGTCACAGAGGGCGACGAGGGGGAGGATGCGGGGGGGGGAGCGGTGGGGAGCGGAAAGGGCGCGCATGCGGTGGCTGGTGTTGCAGGCGGTGTGGCAGGGCGGCATCATGTGCAGGGGATGCATCGCAGCCACAGCTGTGGGTGGCAGTGGGGGAGTGGGGGGGCAGGGAGTGGCACAGGGTCTGGCAGCAGCAGCGGGCTGAGCTTGAGGGACAGGCAGTTGGGAGGAGGGGGCGAGGGAGAGGAGTTTGGGGAGGATGAGTTTGGGCTGGGGGACGAGGATGAGGATGTCGGGTGGGGCGAGGGCGGGGAGATGTTTGGTGGTGGGCTGGAGAGTGAAGGGGGAGAAGGGGAGGAGCAGGGGGGCGAGTCGTCGTCCATCTTGGGTGCTGTGTGGAGGCAGTCGGAGTGGCTGCTATCGTCACTTGGTTTTGGAACCAAGTCACAGCAGAGCTGAGTACCACATGGTGGGTGGCTTGTACCCGTGTCTCTCGGCGCTGCAACTGCCAGCCTCATTCTCTTTGTGCTGTAATTTAACTCGGCCTAGGCAAATGGGGGTGGTATGGTGATCTGGTTGACCTTGTAGGAGGTGGGTGTGGGTTTGGTGGGTTGATGCTGGCCGTGCCAGCACATGGCTCAGGGCTGTTGCGGTTGTCTGTGCTTCCTTTGTACATTTTGTACATAGCCATAGTGTGCCTTCCACACCGGCAACAGCATAATGTTGCACGAACACCATATGGTAGATTCTTACTTACACTCCTTATTCAGCTCTCAATAGGAAGGTAGGATTTTGTGTCTAGGACAGTTCATGGTAGGAACTAGAGGAGTTTGCAAGTAGACAGTAATTCATTGAAAGCTTCATGTGCTGACTACCAGGCCCCACGTTATCAGGGCAAAACATCCTGATTACCCTGAATTCAGGATGCAGTTTTGAATTTACCCTGTCATTTCAGAATAGTGTAAATTTTTACCCTGAGGTCTCAGGATGTTGTTATATGAAATGCCCTGAACATTCAGAATGGCTGTAGTGTTCTTCCTTGTAGCGTCAGGATGAATGCAGAGGCCTGCTCTGCCCTTGAAACACTTATTCATCCATCCAACCATCCAGAAGTGGTCTAGTCAGTAGAAAGATACTTTCGATAGATAAGGTCCTGGGATCGAACCCACCCCGTTTTTAAACTTTAACTATGACAACCAACCAATCTGAACCCTGAACACAGGGTTTTTTGCCCTGACAGGTCAGGATTGATTTCTGAAAAAGCCCTGAACATACAGGAAGGCTTCGAAAATTTGCCCTGACAAATCAGGGCATTTTTTACGATTCCGGAAAGGTGCCCTGAGGCCTCAGGGTGCCCCAAATCCTAGCACGGGCCCTGCTGACTACTGCTGTATTATTGACTAGTGACAGTCGGGGCTGGATATTGTATAGTGCTCATTCCTACAGTATGATGTTTCATTCAAGAAAGGAAACACCCTGAAAGCAAGAAATATCAGGGCGTTTCCTTTCAGCTAGAGAAACGTCCGAGTGCAAGCAGTCCAGTCCACAAGCCGCGCCCAAGCGTGCGCGAGAGTTGAAACCGACGGAGTCACGCACTCAGCACACGCAACAAGATAACTGTAAGGAAATGAAATGAAACGGACGTCTGGCACGTCACGGCATTGCTGAGGCTGTATATTGGCCGTCCACACGGCGAGCAGTGAATGGTCAATCAGAAATGGCTAGGCAGTCAGCTAGCCAGCCAGCCAGCCTGGCGCCGGGGTCGCGCGGTGCCTGGGTGGCGGAGACCGACATGCAAAACGCAGAAGGTGCAGCCCGCCTAGTTTCAAGGCGAGGGGCGACGAAGGTGAGTAATCCAGGCGACTCGCGAAGCTAGGCGAAGGTGAGGCAGAGCGACTCGGTTTTTTTCGCTGCACTGCGTGCTTGCAATTCCGCTCGTCCCGTCACTATGCACAAGAATTGCCTTTTCCTCTTTGCGCGTCCCAATTACACTAACACCGACCAGCACTCATCGTCCCAACCCAACCCAAACCAACCCAACTCGCGTAGCTCAAACATACTCCTCGCACCGCATGAGACTTGAAAACGCTTCTGCCGATCCGGTTTAACCGTCTTAGGGGACCTCCTCGCCACCGCCACGCATTAATCATGCTCGAGTCACACCCAGAACCGTTCCATGCCCATTCAGATCGCCTCGTGCACGGCTCCACCTCCTCCCGCAGCAGCGACGATGCCGCCGCGCCGCCGTTCTCGGCGCGCGACTTCCGCAGCGGCAGTGAGGGAAGCACAAACTGTGCGATTAGCGCCGGTTTTCACCTTCGCAACTGCAGCAGCGGCGGCCAAAGCAGCCACGTGGCAGAGCTAGCAGAGGTGTTCGAGCTCATGGATCGCGACGGCGATGGGCGAATCTCGTGCGACGAGCTCGCGGCGCTCCTGCGAACAACCGGCGAGGCAAGCGGGGAGGAAGACACAGAGGCGGCGGTCCGCGCAATGATGGCGCAGGCTGACGTGGACGGCGACGGGACCATCGATTTCGACGAGTTCGTAAGAGTCAACGCGGCCGCCGCCGCCGACGCCGCTGCGGCCGCCTTGGATCCGGAAAGCGCGGAAGCAGCGGCTGCGGTGCAGCAGGAGGAACTGCAATCCGTGTTTGCGTTCTTCGACCGCGACGGTGACGGCGTGATTACGGCGGAGGAGCTGTGTCGCGTGCTATGCGCGCTGTGGGGCCCGGGCGAGGACGTGACGATGGAGGAGTGCGAGCGCATCGTGCGCGCGGCGGACGGCAACGGCGACGGCGTGGTGGACCTGGAGGAGTTCGCGCGCGTCATGGCGGGCTCCGCGCTCATCCCCGCGCCCCTGGCGTGGCCCGCGTAGCACGCGCCGGTGCCGCCTGCTGGGCTCCAGTTTGCCTTTCTGAGTCGCAGCGGTTTCCTTTAAAACCCAAGGTCCACAGGTTTCGAAGGTAGGAAGGTTGGTTGGACTTGGTGACCCAACCAAGTAGGAAGGATGAGGCAACTTCGGGAAACTTGGAGACTCCGGTTCAGAAACTTGGTGACTGAAAACGATGTTCTACGTTCACCTCTGCGAAGGTGTTTGACACAAGCAAGTTGTCCGTTTCAGAACTAGGAAATGCTGAAATGTATATTTCAAATGTATATTTTGGAGGCAATCCCAGCGGCATCATATAGAATCTCAGAGGCAGAGCATTAGTACAGCTCCACAGGTGCACTGAAGGAGCAATGGCTGACTACAAGCTAGAAGCAAACCACCACCTTACCAGCAAAGAACCCAAACCAAAGGCACAAAGACCACTTGTCAAAACCAGGGTCAATCCACACTTGCACTTCGTGGGATACACCACCACCCAAGACGACATTGGAGGAGCATCACACATACATCTCCGTCAGTGCATTGACCGAGCCAGTGAGTTGACCAAATAGCAGGCAGAGAAAATGGGCGGAGGCACAGCGGCAGAGGAGAATGCAGGCAAAGAGTCATGGAGCGTGTATGAGTCGCAGTTCCTCTCGCAGCTACACGCCATTTGCAGCACTGCTTGCTGAAGAAACAGCGGCGGCGGCAGCAGCAGCGCCAGCAGCACCGGAGTCCCCTGCAGCCGCCACGTCATCGTACTTCTGCAGCACCACGAGCGTCTTCACCACGTCGCTCATGAGCGGGCGCGCCTTGGGATCCCGGTGCAGGCAGTTCTGCGCGAGAATGGCCGCCTTCTGCGCGCCGCGGATGGAGTAGGCGCCTTCGAGGCGCGGGTCGACGAGCTTATAGAGATGGCGGCGGTCGGTATAGAACTTCTTGGCCCAGTCCACCAGACTCTGCTCCTCGGGCGGCAGTGACTTGTTCATGGACCGCCTCCCTGTTATCATCTCCAGCAGCACCACGCCGAAGCTGTACACGTCACTCTTTGCTGTTAGGTGGCCTGCGGGGGGCGGGGACGAAAAGGGGAAAGGTGGGGAGGGCAGAGAGAAGTGGGAGAGGGGAGGTGAGGGTGTGTGTTGAACGAGTGGGGACCAGGGTGAGGTGGGATGAATTGGGCGTTGCAAAGATTTCAGAAGCAGAAAGCAGGAAATTGCGTGAAGCATGGCCCATGGAAATGGTCCCCACGCACTCCAATGTAAAGCCCCCCAGTGCAGATGCGCTACCAGCTCGTGACATGCAGCTTGCATTGCACTTCCCCGAAGTACACGAGGCACAGGGACCCACCTGTCATGACATATTCAGGGGCGGCGTAGCCATAGGTGCCCATGACGCGTGTGGACACGTGTGACTTGTCACCCTCGGGACCATCCTTGGCCAGCCCAAAATCCGACAGCTTTGCATTGAAGTCCTGGGATTGCAGGGCCCGGAGGGAGGGGGTGGAGGAGGGGAAGAGGAGGACATGGTACAAAAAACGAGATAAGGAAAATTCGCATCGACAGGACGGGGTCAGAGAGGGAGTCATCTCCGTCCCTCCCACCCTCCCCCTTTCCCTCCCCATTCACATTGACCATGCATGAGAGCGCGGAGGCGAGCAAGGCGGGGCGTCAAGCAGAGAGTGGTGGCGAGCAGAGCGGGACGGAGGGGCACCTGGTCGAGGAGGATGTTGGAGGTCTTGAAGTCGCGGTAGATGACCTGCCACTCCGCCTCCTCGTGCAGGTACGCCAGGCCCCGCGCTGCATCCAACGCCACACGCATGCGCACTGCCCATGGCATTGGCTGGATCTTCCCTGCAACAGCAGCACGCATGGGGAGAAGAAAGGAGGAGGACGGGATGGGAGAAAGGGTTGTGGTGGATGAGTAATGATGGGTGGGTGTTGCATTGCAGTCCCGATCCCATGGCGAGAGGTGGGGAGGAGCACTGGGGAAACTCGACTTGTGGCCAACAAACGTGTGGGTAGCCATAAGATGCAGCCCCACACCACCCCATTCTCGTCAACTCGCCCAAACCACACATTCCCCTTCCCCCTCTTCCCTCCTCCCACACCGTAAAAACCCTTTCCTTGTCGTCCCCATGACCCCCATTGGCGTACGGCGGAAGAGGTAGGTGTCGAGGCTGCCGCGGCACATGAACTCGTAGACGAGCAGGCGCTGCTCCGCCTCCGCACAGAACCCCACCAGCTTCACCAGCTGCGGATGGTGCAGCTCCCCCAGAAACCGCACCTCCGCCTGGAAGGAGAAAGGGGGAGGAGGAGGGAGGATGGAAGGAGGGAGGGAGGGACTTCGATTAGAGCATTCCATTCGTGGTAAGTAAGCAGCCAATGGCGAGGAAAGAGGACGGGGATACAGTGCTGGAGAAATCGTCTCACACACTCACAGTGGTGGCACACACATACCATCATGCATCAATACCACACACTAACAAACAAAGAAAGAAAGAACCAAACAAACAAGCAAGCAAGCACACAAGGCACACATGCGTACCAGCCATTCCTGGTGGCCCTGCAGGCCCTCTTGGTTGAGTGTCTTCACAGCCACGTCTATGGGCTCACACCCCGGCCTCGGCCTCACCCTCCCGCGGTACACTGCACCAAACCCGCCCTCCCCCAGGCGCGCGTCCGCGCGGAACTTCCCCGTGGCCGCGCGCAGCTCCTCATACGTGAACACTGTCAGGCTCGTGTCGCTCTCCACGCCCGCCAGATCCGTGGGGGACGGGGCCACGCCCCCCCCTGTGCCCGCGCCTGCGCCTGCCAGCGCGGCTGCGTCTGCGCCAGTGCCTCTCCCCACGCCCGCAGCCGCCCCTCCGTCTGCGCCCTCTCCCCTTGAAGCGGGTTGAGGCGACACGGGTTGCTGCGGCGGCGGCTCGTTGGGCGGGAGCGCGAGGGGGTGCGCGGGGATCTTGGGCGGCTCCACGCCCTTGTCCCGCTCCCTGCGCGCTGCTGACGTGGCGTGGGACGATTCATTGTCAACTGTCAGTTGCAGATAGGGCAGTGAAGGGGAAGCAAGCGAGGGAGTGCATGACACGATGAGGTAAACAGAAGCAAGCCACGTGGGATCAATGGGCCAATGATTGGGAGGCGCTGCCGCGTTGAACTCCCATCCCCCCTGTCCCCGCACATGTGCGCCTACCTATAGAATCCGTACCTCTGGCGGCAGCGGAGCTACTCTGCGCGCGCGCGGACGTGACTCTGCTGCCCGCGTCCGTGGCTGGGGAGGGGGCTGACACTGACGCCGCCGCCCCCAGGCTGTCCACCGCTGCCGCCTGCCCCTCCCCCGCCCTCTCGATTTGGCGGACCGCGGCGGGCGCTGCCGACGAGGCGCTGCCTGCAGCGGTGGTGGATGGGCGGGGATGGAGATGGGGGAGAGGGGGAGGGAGGACGGAAAATAAGGGGAATGAGTGCGGGAGAGAGGGCGGGAGAGAGAGGGAGCCGGAGCGAGGAGAAGGGAAAAGGAAGTTACGGGCGTGGGAGGGCATCGGGGAGGAACATGGAAAACAACGGGAAGCACGTGGGTTAAGGATCGGCATGAGACAGCAAGAGAAGAGGATGCGAGACGCGCAGCGACGAGCAGCTGCTGCGAAAAAAGGCAAGCACGTGTTGGTCAGCCCCGGAATCACATGCGACGCGTGCTCTCGCATGCCACGGTAAACGACACAGCCATTGCAGCACCTTTTTTCGAGGCGGAGGAGCGCAGCCGCGAGAACCGCGAGCCTGAGAAGACCCCCCTTCCGCTTTCCTGCTTGCCCGACTCTGCCGCCACTGCGGCCGCTGCCGCTGGTGTCACCGTCGCGCCGCCGCCGCTGCGCCTACCCACGTCCCCGCTGCCGCTGCCGCTGCGCCTCCCCACGTCCCCGCTGCCGTTAGTCACCTTGCGCCCGCTACCGCTCGTAGGACTCAACGGGATCTCCTCTACAGTCACGCAGTTACCCATGGTGGCACGGCCTCTTCTGGACAGGTTGTACGAGACTCGAAACACTCTCACGCACTCCACCGCACGGACGCTTCTCCCTGCTGCTTCTACCAGCTATGCTCTGAACGCCTGCTTCTTGCTGCTTCTGTCGATGCGCGGCTCGGTATTCTCGTGCAGGTATCTGTTGGGAAGGAACCCTTTTTAGTGAGCTAGTGAGCGTTGTTGCAGATCAAAGTCACGGAAACGGTGGCTCGACGAAGCGACGGCTCGAACGGCGTCATGTGAGCGGTTTGATCGTCACAGGCGATCGGAGAAACAAATCGTTACCCTAACGGATGTCGTGCGCATGGAACGGCATCGTGAGCAGAATAACCTAGATATCGAGAGGGGGAGAGCGTGTAATAACGACCCCATTGCGTGGTAAGAATACGGCGTGAGAGGAACACCGCATGGGACTACATGCGGTCGGGTGGCATTGTTTGACGAAAGCAAGATCAAGGAGAACCGTTGTTATACTACTATGTTCTATGTACTACGTAACATGTGCGGAGGACGCGTAGCAATGATTTGCTGTTATTAGCAATCTAGGTCAGCAGAAAGGGTGGAGGTTGAGATGAGATAGTGCCGGTCCTAACAATGGAACAGCGAGTATGAACGGGTTGGTGCGAGGTGGGTTCGGGTGGGGTAGGGTTGGTTTGCAACTATGGGCGAGTTCAGCCCAAAAATCGTGGCTGGCACCTGCTTGGCTCCATGAGCCATTCGCGTCTGCCTAAATTGTCTCCCATCTATACGATACACTCCTATCCAAAGGGCTGTAAAGTGCTAACTAAGACAATAACACAAACACCATTCTTGGTATGTAACTTATGCAGAGGTGTTTCTGGGCTTGGTTTGGGAATTGAAGGTGATTTTTATTTCAGGCGCTACTGTGTAGCCCCCTCATCTATCCTAAACCGTGGCAATAGATAGCACAGAAATCAATATTGAGGTTGCTCAACAAGTTAATAATACGTGAAATCATACTACACCGCTATTCA